CACCCGGTTTGCTAAAATTGCTACGTTCGCAGCACGATTTCTCACCCCGACACGATTTCTCACCCCGACACGATTTCTCGCCCCGACACGATTTCTCACCCCGACACGATTTCTCGCCCGGGTAAGAAATCGTGTTAAGAGTAGGCATAGTATCCGTTATCATGTTTCTTGGCGAGTGTGGTACATGTATGTTTAGGCTTTTTTATAAAGGGACTATTTCCAGCTATGTTAAAATGACATAGGAGCCTGCCCACTCATAAATTTTGTTTCAGAAGTGCTGCGAGATTTATGCTGTTGTTTTAACTTTTTTTCAATCCCTTATACATCCGATGTTATTACTTTGAATCACTCTTCTAATTATTTAGATGATTAATTAACCTTAATAAAGAATGGAGGTCGACAAATGGAATTTCAGCCTCAAAGTGTTTTTCTGAAAAATAATCGTATTATTTGCATCGATTTACTTGGGAAAGGCCATTTACTCTGATGTAGTGCAGTAATAATATATTTTTCATCCAGAATGTGAGTTAATTTGAACATTTTATAAAATTTTAATGTAAAATATAGGATTTTTCATTCTTATTATTCTTGTATACATACAATTATCATAGTATAAAGCATTGGTGTTATTTCAAATATGTTTGCAAACATTCAGCCCAAAAAATGTGGTGGAAAGTATTCATTTCGCACAACAAAGTACCCAGTGTGCCCAAGAAGGTGAGGGCCTAAGACAGGTTACAGGTAATTGGTTACGAAATTCGTTGCAAGCCTACAATAAATCTTTCAGTACATGTTAGGTCACAAACAATTCTAAATTCCAATTTCCTACATCACTTGGTGTGATAAATACTTTGTTAACAATCAATTTTGAGATCAAATGAAATTTCTTTTCACTTTTTAGAATTTGTTCTTATAATTTTTAATACAGTCTGTAATTCTCAAAATGATGAGTAAATGTATTGGTGAAGGTCGCCATCCTATCATCGCGAAATCTCGTAAATGTAAAGGTACACGAAATGTAAAACAAAGTCAATCTATAATGACTTTTGGATATACTGACTTAAAACCACTAGTAGTTTTTTTTTTCTTAACAATCAAGGACCTGTTTCACGGATCCTGTTCACATATAAAATGTTGTCTTTGTTTTAACAATATGAATTCATCTTATTGGCAATGACCGAAACCCTTGTACACAGGTTATCCTATAAGGAAGAGAGAATTTGAACTCTCAATCATGAAGGTGGCAATCTGACATAATTTGTGACCTTTTAGAAGTGTCGTAAATCTTGTCAAAGAATCAATTAGCCTTCATTCTCAATTTTGGTATCTTGGATGACCCTGGCTGCAAATCTAGAACAAGTTTGCCAAAGAACAGTTTCTCAAAATCCATATGTAATTTGCCCCATTTCTTTCTTCTTCAGTATTTTACTGTTTTGGGTTAAGATAAAAACTGATATCTGTTGTAATGAAGTGTTCCGCTCTTTGCATTTTTCTGCCTAGTATTCCAAAAACATTTCAGTCTGTAGTACAAGCATTGAATAAATATAGTTCCAGTGTTAATTCGTCCTGACCATTTGGGTACGGAAAATATTTTCATACAATCCTGTATTCTCAGAAACACTCTTGTGAGACAGAGTGACTGCCATACTAGATGGTACACAGCTTTGCAAGCAAACAAATCATAATGCGTTAGTGCGCATTATGTTGTTTGCTTGCAAATCTGTGTCATTCAAATAGATCATAAATACCATACAAAAACAGTTCAATGCTTAAATGAAAACAAAGTATCGAACAAATACAAAATCTCTGAATTCCATTTATATTGCAAGAAAATTGTCTGGGAATCTGCCACCTGATAAATCAGTAGAATGAATGTTTTGGTGGCCATCTTGAAAAGAAATAAACCTACAAATCTTTTCGAAACATGTTCTTTGTTGATTAAATATTCATTCCATTTAAACTGGAACAAATATTTCCTTTTTTTCTGTCAGTTTCAGTCATAATGAATAGACTATACACAAAGTCATGAATTCTGATGTAAAGACCATATGGCCATTTGATCCCTTCTTTGAATATGTTCAACCACATATTTTGGATTGATATTTTTGTCACTGGTAGTTCATGACCTAGTCTTTCTATAATCAAAATACAGTTGGTATTCAGAAGTTATAAGATACTTTTATTCTAAGATGAACACATTTTTGTCTGGAAAATATCATTACTCGAGATGGCTTCCGGCTGTTGATTTGTCTGTAAATATCTGATAACTGACCATAGCAAGATATTTTACATGTAAACTGTAGTATATGATCCGTAGTTGTTGTTGCATCAAAAACGATCCTTCAATGCGAAATTAGTTTGACAACATTCTTTTAGGGGAAAATCTGACTTTGTTGAGAATTTCAGTTTATGCTCCTACGAAAAACGAACAAAATACTCATTTGAATTTTAATGGGTGTTTTTGTTGTGATATGGTTTAGGTCTACACCTCACCAAAAGAAAATTCTGTTTAAAAGTTAGCAATGACACTAAAAACACTTCAGTGGCTTTCGTTGATTTTTTTTTCATTTTATAATATGGCCGTGTTAGGTCGGGTCCTGATTGGTTGGCATTTAGATATTGACCATTTTTGGTCAGATTCTGTATGCAGATGTGTTATGGCATTGTGATAATTTTGCAGCATTATTTGCGAATGCAGGATTTGTATGGGCGACTTAAGTAACGGTCCCTGTTACAACTAGATATTGTTATAATTTATGATAAAAATGAAATGTATGTACCCTTCCAGAGCAACTGATTTCACTTCTGCTTTAGTAAGCTCATGTTGTGTAAACAGTTCGTATTCTTTGTTACTTAAGTAACCTTTTTCATTGGAATCTTGCCATTATTGTTGACTATGTCTTGTGTTAGATATGACTTACATATGATCTATATATACGTTTTATCGCGCGCAAATTGTGGTGAACATTTTTTTCTATGTTTCGAATATCTCCAGTGGAATTCAAACAAAATCGGTTCTTCTGATTCGAAAATAAATAAAAAACAAATAAATAACAGGTGTTCTTATTTAAGAAGTGTTTATTCTCTCACAATTTAGATGAACTATATTGCGTTTTAATGTGTTTAAGAAGATGCGCGCACGTGCATTGTATTTGCGCGCGTGAGTTCGTGCCCCTGTATGCTGCACGCTATGCGTTCCAGGTGTGTATGAACAAGTTGGACAGACGTATTATTGATTCTTTCATACCATGTAATCGAGCAACAATATTTGTTTCATAGTCTTATTGAATATGTGAAGATATTTGAAGACTTCTGCTGCGTATTTCAAAAGTGAATGAATGAAAAAAATGATAGATAAATCAATCAAACAATCAATCAATATTAGGCATGCTGTACATCGAACATCTCGTCATTTGCTATCATGTAAGTTCATCTATTACATGTACACTTAGGCAAGTTTAAAGAAGCTCGCTCTATTCCAAAAATGAGAGATGACGTCAGAAAAAACAAAAGGATTGAAACAAGCAGCATATTGTAAGCTGTCGAATGAAAGGAAGAAAGTCTTTATTTTGGGGATACGTTTTTTTTCTAACGGTACCTTTATTTACAAAAAAAAAGCTTTAAATAAAATTTGACTTCGTGTTGTTATCAATTCGGTATTCCCATCTAATCAATAGCTTATATTATAATTCGAGGTTCTTATATACCGCTTTATCACAACCTAGTTCGTAGGTCGTCTCAAAGCGGTTCACAAATTATTATCCGTGTTTATAGGGCCTTTGCAACCAGCCAATACCGTTCTCAACTCCCTGGGGAGCAAACAGTCGAAGCTGCCATTTCGGCGCTAACAGCTAGCATTCAATAATTCTAGCACTTCCCAACCACATACCCATGTACAGCTGAGTAAACTGGAACAAGCGGAGTAAAGGATCTTGCTCAAAGATACAACACAGCGCCGTGCCGTGACTCGAACACGGTCACGAGCCCGGCGTCCTACCACCAGACTACCGTACCGTTCGTCATTCTATATGGATAAGTAGATTTTCCAGGTTTATTTCAGATTCGTAGTAATATACATAATACATATGTAACTGCAGGTCATTCTCCGAGCTAAGTGTTTATCCGTTGTTTTTCAAGGCAAAGTGAACATTCATCGCGCCTTTTTGTTCCTCACTGAATACGTGTGTAATCAGTAAGGAGTTATCGCTTCACTATTGATGCAAATATTTTCTCTTAATTAACTGATATATGGATTGCAGTTTTTTAACAGAGAAAAGATTATTTTAAAAAGTAAAGAAACAGTTTTGTTATTGTTGTAAAAAAAAAAAAAACAATCAAACACCCCGGATGAAAAACATCAGACAATACCCCTATTGAAATATAGAGCTGGGGTGAGAAATCGTGTCGGGATGAGAAATCGTGCCGTAACATACGTGTACCATCTTGTGTTCATATCTAAAACCATATCTGTATTTTATAGAAATAGTATTGTTAATCAATCCAGAAACGGCCCAGCATTCTGTCTACACTGTATGAGTCAAATGATGAGGTGAATTCATAAAACGATCATAAACGGCGAATCAACATGTTAATGTTGCATACAATGTCATTTACCGAATGACCTCTAGTAGATCGAATAAAGTCAATACATCTTTTATAAACACTATAAGTTAAGTTTGTTTTGAGCACACGCTCTAACTGAAATCCTATTTTGCGAGTTTTCGAGCACGTCTGCTTTCTTTGTCAAGCAAACATTTGCACTCTGTGTTTGACAAGGAAACAGAGGTCTTCGAAAGCTCGCAAACTGTTTGTGTTCAACACAAACTTTGCATATTTTATCGATACCAAACTGATGATTTTCATTCCTAACCTTATTTAAGCACTCTCGTATATGTAAGCATTTATTTTTGAAATTATAACTTACACCACTGGTTCATATGATTTTTAAATGTGTTGCTTGTAAAACTGAACAAGTGTACAATCCGGTGTTTTTGTTTCAGATCACCAGGTACCACATGTTATGCATCTGCCTTTCTGTAGTCACGTGTTTCTGCATCCCCATGATATTTATGTATGACCTTGAACTACACCATTTTCTCCGTATGATTCCGCATGATGCTGGATCAGAGGATGTAACAACGACCGGGAAAATGTCCTCAAATGGTGATAATACAACGATACATAGCAACACTGTGAATGCTCGTGAGGTGTTGGACTACAAAACTAACGTACTGGGAATACGAAAAACGGGCCAAGTCGGGTACATGGTGTACGACTGCAGCAACGCCCACCATGGGGAGTGTGGTGGTTGGTCAGACAGATTGTCGGGCATGCTCAGTGTATACGTCATAGCTCTCGTAACCAATCAGACGTTTCTAGTGCACCATGACAACCCGTGTCCTCTCCAAGACTACCTTGACTACAAAGGTCATAACTGGGTTTTCAACCAGGCACGCATGGAGGCAAAACAGCTTAGCCACCAATATCTACCGTTTTATTGTAAGGTCCCTGTTGCCATCAGGTCAAACCGACTGGATCGTTTGTTTGTAACCTTCCATAAGGAAATAAACTTTGTGCGAATGAACTGGGATTATACCGAACATTTTCGAGCTAGCAAAGGAATAGGAAAGACAGTCCCTTGGATCACAACACTACAGTACTCAGATATTTACAAACACTTTTTCAATTCACTCTTCGTTCTGAAAAAAGAACTGAACGATAACTTAGATAGTATCAAGCGACAAAAACAGTTTGCGTGTGCACACATCCGTATGGGGGAATCAGGCACGGTGCGTACAACGCTTCCCCAGCTTGTCGACATATGGCGGTTTCTGAAACAAAAGGAAAGACAGAAATTCTCAATATTTGTTGCAACAGACTCGAATTCAGTGAGGAAGAAGGCTAACAAATTGTTTCCGCGATCTATAGTGGACATTGATGGTATAATAACACACATTGACATAACTAAGAAAGGCGACTTGTGTGCTGGCTTCCGCAAGGCCATGTTAGACTTCTTCATGCTGACACGCTGTGAGGCGTTGCTGATCACGAGGAGTGGGTTTGGTATACTGGCCGCCTACCTCAGAGAGCAGCACAAGTTACACTGTCTGACCCCTAATGGCGTGGTCTCCTGCACTAGATTCACCATTCATGATATTTATCCTACTCCGATCCTGTCGCCGTTCTAGATAATTGGGTGGGTTTTTTAAAATAATTTGCCAATGATATTCAAGTGCAAAATATCTGATCGAATTTCACATTTAAATAGTTTTTCTATTGACTCGTACACAAAAGTTCCGTAGGTATGTCTAAAAGATTTGTGTTAAAAATGATGTACGTCCGAATAAATGTTTATTTTATTCTCAAGCTAGTCTCAGTGAAACTACCAAATGTTGTCAGTTATCTGCGCATGAAATGGATGAGACTTTCATTGAATATGCACATGAACTGTATCAAATAAAGCATCATCGCACCTCGGATAGAATTGTCGCATCTGATTGGTTAAAATCGGGGCACGTGGTGACCCCCTATGAGACTATAGAGGGTCAGTAAAATTTCTTAGGGGGCAATATGGCGGTCCGTGTCTGTCGCTTTGAAATTAAAACAAATCAGGTTTAAAATACGCCTTCCCAAATATCCCCGAACGAACCTTAGGCCTCACCCCCTTGTATTTTACTGACCCTCTATGGTTCCATAGTAGGACACTACAAATGTAACAAACTAGATAACTAATAATGTTAACCAGTATTTATTTGCCGCAACGGTAAAAATATTTGGTTTATTTGTTGATATAAGCAATATTGACACATAAAAAAACCATGTTTTTGTGCAATACAAATTCAGTAAGATCGAGTCTGATTTCGCACATTTACAAAATACATCCCAAGCAAGAATTATGGGTATTATATTATATACATCTAATGAGATATTTTTGTTCACTATTGAATTCGAATAAAACGAAACATGTTTAATGTATAATTAGAGTATGTACGCAAGAGGGTACCATAGGGAGGTTCAGAATAAATGCTGGTAAATGTATTCCAAAAACGTTAGCTAAACAAAATGAGAACTTTCTCTCCTCGGTTTGAAAGATATCTATGTAAGTTAAAAGTTCACGGACAGCTTCTATCTCTCTCTCTGTATTCCAAAAACGTTAGCTAAACAAAATGAGAACTTTCTCTGCTCGGTTTGAAAGATATCTATGTAAGTTAAAAGTTCACGGACAGCTTCTCTCTCTCTGATCCACCGGAGTCCTCGGGCTATCTGACAACATTTAGTTGATGTCGGACATGCAGTAACTTGGAAACTGACCTGTACCATTCTTTATAACCAAATAGCAGATGGGGCCTGACCGTAGGCCACATCCAGCATCTGAAGCATCACATGTGATAAGCATCAAAACAGACGGGGTTCATATTCCCAAACCGGACGTGAAAAGTTATTCGTCACCTGCCCCATAACGTGGGTATTCTCCGGGTGCTCCGGTTTCCTTCCACACTCTGCGCACTACCATCCAGGCCAACAAGAGTGATTATTAATATAAGTTGATACAAATTATATTCTAAAATGAAACACATGACCTTCCTGAAAATGACAGAACAACACACTTATAGAATATTGAAGGATACGACTAGAAAGATTAATTTATTAAATTGTTTAATTACAAGCATGGGAGATAACTCTTGTGAGCTTACAAAGAAAAAAATTCATTCACAGGATTATATATGGAACCTGTGAGACTCGTAGTGGGCGTTGTTTTTTTACTTTACTCCAACGATATGGATGAACACAGCGTTTGATAGGCCTATGGTGATGAGGTCATCAAGTCTAGAACGTACACTCTACTGACCGTATGATAAAACCGTTTTATTAATTCAGTCACCTTTTATTTTACACTACATTCTAATTTTGCACAATTTTACAAGATTTCAAGATTTTTATTTACTTGCATTAGACACATATTAAAGTGTGTGCAACAGATACAGTTTCAATGCACAACCGGCACACGTCATAAATCATTATGTTGTGTATACTAACTTACATATAAGTCAGAGGTCGACGTGTACGGAGTAACCGTTGGCAAACAGTCGGGGAAACGTATATCATAGAATAGTGGTATCATCGAATTTCTGTAAATATTTGGACATATGAGCTAATATTTCTTATCTCTTTTCATCCTATGTTGATGTACAGTGTAATAATACGCCGAATTATGTTTCCCTTATTTGGACTACATTAACGTATTTACCAATAATTACATAGATGGTGGAACGCATCTCCACTGCCTGTACAACAGAGGGCATATCACAGCAGAGGGCAACAACAGAGGACATATCACAACAGAGGGCATATCACAACAGAGGGCATATCACAATATCACAACAGAGGGCATATCACAATATCACAACAGAGGGCATATCACAATATCACAACAGAGGGCATATCACAACAGAGATCATATCACAACAGAGGGCAACAACAGAGGGCATATCACAACAGAGGGCATATCACACCAGAGGGAAACAACAGAGGGCAACAACAGAGGGCATATCACAACTTGGCGTTGAGCTCCCACACATCTCACTGTTTCTATTGAGAGTTATTTAAGAATTGATTTTGTATCGTAACATTAATGTTGGCATGTAACGCAGTTCCGTTCAAACTCTCTAGGAAGTCCACGAAGATGCGCTAGCACACTAACATCGTGGACTGTGTTATTTAACGGAAATGCGTAGCAGCAGCGCATCCTGGTTAATAGGTTTCAGTTATAATAAAACTAAATTTCACGAAGGCAGATGATAAGAATCAAAGACTTCTACAATAACTTTAATAAGTATTGACTTAATTTTGGCAATATCTTTACTTTATTTAACAACTACATATATTTATCCGAGATATATAGTTAACACAGTAGCTACATATATGTATCTGTGATATATAGTTAACACAGTAGCTACATATATGTATCTGTGATATATAGTTAACACAGTAGCTACATATATGTATCTGTGATATATAGTTAACACAGTAGCTACATATATGTATCTGTGATATATAGTTAACACAGTAGCTACATATATGTATCTGTGATATATAGTTAACACAGTAGCTACATATATTTATTCGAGATATATAGTTAACACAGTAACTACATATATTTATCTTAGATATATAGTTAACACAGTAGCTACATATATTCATCTGAGATATATAGTTAACACAGTAGCTACATATACATGTATTTATCCGAGATATATAGTTAACACAGTACCTACATATATTTATCTGAGAAATATAGTTAACACAGTAGCTACATATATTTATTCGAGATATATAGTTAACACAGTAACTACATATATTTATCTGAGATATATAGTTAATACAGTAGCTACATAGATTTATCTGAGATATATAGTTAACACAGTAGCTACATCTATTTATCTGAGATATATAGTTAACACAGTAGCTACATCTATTTATCTGAGATATATAGTTAACACAGTAGCTACATCTATTTATCTGAGATATATAGTTAACACAGTAGCTACATCTATTTATCTGAGATATATAGTTAACACAGTAGCTACATCTATTTATCTGAGATATATAGTTAACACAGTAGCTACATCTATTTATCTGAGATATATAGTTAACACAGTAGCTACATATATGTATCTGTGATATATAGTTAACACAGTAGCTACATATATGTATCTGTGATATATAGTTAACACAGTAGCTACATATATTTATTCGAGATATATAGTTAACACAGTAACTACATATATGTATCTGAGATATATAGTTAACACAGTAGCTACATATACATGTATTTATCCGAGATATGTAGTTAACACAGTAGCTACATATATTTATCTGATATATATAGTTAACACAGTAGCTACATATACATGTATTTATCCGAGATATATAGTTAACACAGTAGCTACATATACATGTATTTATCCGAGATATATAGTTAACACAGTAACTACATATATTTATCTTAGATATATAGTTAACACAGTAGCTACATATACATGTATTTATCCGAGATATGTAGTTAACACAGTAGCTACATATATTTATCTGTGATATATAGTTAACACAGTAGCTACATATATTGATCCGAGATATATAGTTAACACAGTAGCTACATATATTCATCTGAGATATATAGTTAACACAGTAGCTACATATATGTATCTGTGATATATAGTTAACACAGTAGCTACATATATTTATTCGAGATATATAGTTAACACAGTAACTACATATATGTATCTGAGATATATAGTTAACACAGTAGCTACATCTATTTATCTGAGATATATAGTTAACACAGTAGCTACATATACATGTATTTATCCGAGATATATAGTTAACACAGTACCTACATATATTTATCTGAGAAATATAGTTAACACAGTAGCATCATATATTTATCTGAGATATATCTGAGATATATAGTTAACACAGTAGCTACATATATGTATCTGTGATATATAGTTAACACAGTAGCTACATATATTTATCTGAGAAATATAGTTAACACAGTAGCATCATATATTTATCTGAGATATATAGTTAATACAGTAGCTACATATATTTATCTGAGATATATAGTTAAGACAGTAGCTACATATATTTATCTGAGATACATAGTTAACACAGTAGCTACATATATTTATCTGAGAAATATAGTTAACACAGTAGCATCATATATTTATCTGAGATATATAGTTAATACAGTAGCTTCATATATTTATCTGAGATATATAGTTAACACAGAAGCTACATATATTTATCTGAGATACATAGTTAACACAGTAGCTACATATATTTATCTGAGATATATAGTTAACACAGTAGCTACATATATTTAACTGAGATATATAGTTAACACAGTAGCTACAAATATTTATCTGAGATATATAGTTAACACAGTAGCTACATATATTTATCTGAGATACATAGTTAACACAGTAGCTACATATATTTTGATAATATGGTATAAAGACTACAGTATATGATCTAATTTGATTGAGCGGTTCTAAATGCAAAACAAACATTTACTGAATCTGAAGATGTTATTGAAGCCCGGGTAGAAGTGCAGCATTAGAAAGGTAATAGATCACTCATAGCCAGGCTACTTGGTCAATATTTACCCATGCCATACGCAGTCCAGTATTAAGGGGACATAACTGCGGATGTTAGATCAGAAAGCTAGATATGGGCCCCCAAACTCGTGATGGTATCATGTTTTCATAACTCTTATTAATTCATTTTAAAATTGTGAAATTACTCGGTAAGAACCGTGTCCTTATAAAACTGGAAAAAATAACCAACTCGAATAAGATAAACATAATGACCAGCTACCACCAGCTGGGGAGCGCCTACATCCTCTGATATTCATCATGAATTTAGAATTAGAGTTTTGTGTTGAGCCAATATGAACATTTTCGTCACATTTCAACAAATACTCTAGGTTTTCAGTTTAACCAAATATCCAAAAGTCACAAACAGTGTTTTTTTTTTTTTTACCGGAAATAGGAAATCGACGGTCATGCAAAGGCATGCGCAGTGATGCTCACATGTACGTCATCCCGGAAAGATCCGAGTGTCGACGAACGGAGATAGTAGATAGGTAGATCGGAATCGTCGTACTAAGTATGACAGCTCAATGGAGGCTCCATTGTAGTCGAGGTGGTTTTGTTGTAAATGATAGGACTCCTCTGTCAATACTCCAAACGCTAAATCCCCCCNTATATTTCATATCTATTAACTTGTACTTTGTTGCATGGTTCTTTGGTTAAACTGACAGTGAACAAAACCCAGAGGAGTTGTTCTATTATTTACAACGTAGCCACCTCTACCACATTAATATAGCGCAGTGCTCACTTTCGCTCATTTGATTAAGATGAAGATGAAGAAATTAAGCAGATGAAATTTTGCGATGTGTGAGAAAACTGAGAGAAAAAAGGCAAGTTCTCATAATGGAATTACATCTGAATGTATGAAAACCCAAACTGACTTGTTCATAAATTAATATTTAACATTATTTATTACTATTCAAAATACTGCATACGTAGCCGATTGATGGGGGATAACAATGCAGCTGTAAATAAACCTACACATAAATAAGTCCGAAAGTCTTGTAACATGATAGAGCTACAAGTCATGTACCATCATGTCAAGGGAACGTTTTCATCACTAGTAGGGTGGTCGGTTGGTGCGGTAGATAGCGCACTTGCCTTTCACCAAGGCGGCCGGGGTTCGATTCCTCGATCGGACGTGAAAAGGTTGGGGTCATCTGCCCGATCACATGGGTTTTCTACGGGTACTCCGGTTTCCTTCCACACTAAGAACCCCGCGCGCTGACATCCGGGCCAACATGAGTGATTAATATAAGTTGAAATAACTTGTTTCATAATTGTTGTAAAATAAATTAAGTTTATATTTTTAATTAGTGATGGTCAAGGTGGGTTTAGGACGAATCACTCTACGTCAGACGAAACTTTTCATATACCCGTTCTTTATTCATTCCATACATGTTCAAAAGCCTTTCGTTGAATTGACTCTATAAATATCCCCGGTTTTTCGTTTTTGTCCGTCCTCGCTGTCCTGATAGGTTTTTTGTTCTGCTGCCCAGGGAGTTATAAGAAATGGGAAAGCGGCTAGGCCTAGTTGGAAGCGCGCATGTGGGCGGATTGGTCGAGTGGTTAATACTTCGGCCTTCCACGCAGACGGCCGGGGTTCGATCCTCGAAGTCGTCGCACGCATGGAATATCAGAGAAAGTGTTTTTCTCCTGCCCACACAACTCCAACAACCCAAGTGGAGTATAAGATGGTCTGGGGTGGATGTTGCGGTATCTGTGCTGTATCATTTAAGTGAGGTGGCACTATAAAAGATGCCGTTCGAAGCACGGTCCCACTACAAAACAGAACTCAATACATCTCAGGCACACACGCAGGACAACACACATAGTGAGACATTAGCCAGGTGGAATATAACTAGTAGTTAGCGCCTGATAAGGCAGCTCATGTGGATTCCTCAAAATTGAATTAATCAATGTATATGCTAATTGTATTAATTGTATATCTATGTACTGTAAAGTGCTTTAGAGTGGCTTATGTTAGCTAGAAATGGCGCTATATCAAATGTTGTATAATATTATTTCAGGTGCTTAAATGGGAGAAAATCCGATTACCCAACAAACTTATGTTTTTTTTTTTTTTTTGAAAGAAGTATGAAGTCTATCAAATCCCTTTAAACGAATTTCAATGCATGTCCGGTCAACAAAGACTCAATATCAGGTTTCGTGTTTCATTTGTTCAAAATTGATCTATTAAAATGACCGCGTTTGTCAACCTAGCTACCGTCGTCAACGCAGCTCGTGTAAATAGCCGGTACATACATATCGTGTGACAAGGCATGTGCAGCTTAATGACGGGTCATTCTCTAGATATTCTTAAACATGTAAAGTCTTAAACAATCGATCTTAAATCACAGTTTTACAATGTAGCAATTAAAGCTATTATGCTGATAATCCGTCTTGCCTACCTGTGCAAGTGGGGACCAGTTGGTCAATGTCTGAAAGTGCTTGTACACCATACACTGTGTACCCGACCCAGTGCTACGTCACACAGATTAGATTTGTCACGTGTCCTTTATCGTCATTGAGGAACGCCACACCACAACCTTCCACTCGCATACATAAAATACGACAGGTGGGATTGTATTTCATCAGCTAAAGGTAAGATATAATTTTATCATGATACACTTACCTGAAAACCATTTATCTATTTAAACAAAATAATTTCAGGTTTCTTGTGTATAAAGTTGGTCAATGCCTAGCACTAGGCTTCATGCTCCACTATATTTCAATTTGAGAGAATTTTAAGTAAACAATACCCGTATTATGTGTATAGGTGACGTTGTTTAGGCCGTCCCGGGTACAATAAGATAATGGCTAGTCACACGAGTTTACTGTCCGTTATACTACAAGCTAACACTGGTGACCGCGTGTGTTTATTGGGGAGTCGTAGCATAGATATGGGGAGTCGTGGCATAGATATGGGGAGTCGTAGCATAGACATAGATTTCGCAACATTCGAAACCGGGAAGGGGGCGGGGCGACCTTCCCTGTTGCCACAGTTTTTGAGTTCTCGTACTATCGTCAAATAGTCTAGTAAACCCTGTGCTTCCTATTACAATCGAGTGTCTGTGTACCTTGTATTGCCCTTTTCTATTTGTACCACAGGACACTATTCTCATATGCCTTCACTCCCTGAATCATCCTTCTCCGTTTTTCTAACATGTATAGAGGTCATTGTTGTGTTAGGAGTAGGTATGTTACTCGTTGTCATGTATGCACACTGATTTTTGTTTTGTGCGATTGAATGGTTGATTGATTGATTGAATGAATGATTGATTGATTGATTGATTGATGGATTGATTTAATGATTGATTGATTGTTTGTTTGATTGATTGATTGATGGGGCTGTATGTTATAACCCAGCAGAGACAAAAAATTACCCGCGTAACGGGAAACTTGAGTTGGATGTCGTCGCTTCTTCAAATGGCATGCATGTATAAGTCTAGCGATTTTTTTTGATTTTTTTTTTTACATGAGATCAATCAAATAGCTAGCCGCGTGCCTTCAATTTAGCATTGACATATTACAAGGGATCAGAGAGCGCAAGTAAGCGTTACACCTAGGGTGATCGAGGATATCTCACTTTATTGTAATATTTCTCTAAATGTTATTCTGGACGGTTCTCCATACTTGTCTGACGAAGACAATGAAAATATCTAACATATAGTCCAAACCTACATTAAAAATAATCCTTTCATCTTTGTTCATATTTGTTGTTGTTGTTATGTAATTAATATAAAGAAATATATTGGAGAGGGCGTTTCTAAGTTGAGATAACTTGTGCTTAATACTTTTTGTTGAATGACAAATAAAATATGTTTAAATCAAATCGAGGATATTGTTTCCGACCTGTCAAACTTTGACCGACGCCTTACACAGAAACTGCTCTACAGACACTAACGAAACTTTACAGGTGTATTGAATTATTCGATCTATAGTTTCACGAATAGACATAATACATGGCCACTGTGGTATCAGATTTGAACATATCGTGCTATCTTGGTACATGTATATATCTTCTTTTCTGTTTTGTGAATTACAATAAAGTTGGTGAATGGGATGGTTTTTAGACTGGGATTAAAATCTACATCATCCGCAATCAGCTATAGCCTCTTCAGTAATATAATTTGGAATGTTCTATGAATTTGGGTATAGCAGGGAAAGACATTCAATAATTGAAATATAATTTGTGACGGTATGTCCCTTTAACTTATCGGGGTAGAATTACAAGTTTGTTCGTGTACACACAGTTCATACCTGACCTCGGACTAAGCCCCTGCTAGCTCTGGTAAGCTTAGTCGGAGTGTAAACAATACCGTAATCGCAAACTAGGGCAAAATACTAACAAAAGAACCTACTTGGAGATTTAAGTCCGGATTTTCAGAATTTATGCAAGAGCCGAATCGGTCGGATACTTGATGTTTTATGTTAGTGTAGCATGGTCGAGTTTCTGTGTTACATTTTATGAGGTATCCTTGCTATCGCCTTTTGCTAGATGTTTTTTTATCACTTTTTTGTTCAATAGTGTATCATACAAAATGGTATTACGATGCATATCAATAATTTCTATACGACGCTTATGTTTATAAATATATGATAATCATAGGAGGAATCTTTAGTGGAGTAAACAACATATATCTATGGTCATGTGTACAGGAGTGAAATAAGCTTGAACGTAAGATATGTATGTATTTTGATTAAAAAAATACAAATGAAGACATCAGCTAGGAACTAGTTCGTTAGTGCTAACCAGTCCGCGCTCCATATAACCTAATTGTGTATTAACCTGGGTCTGAGTACACTTCGGTAATGAACACGTATTGCAGGCAATCATGCAGGTCAGCTCGGGGAAACGCGTCCACTCTTCTCTGTAACTGGCACAAATCGATCATAATATGTGTTTTAAGTGGGAGATTGTAAACGTGTTTCGACACAAAACCTAACAACTAATTTCAATAAAAAAAAACCACCGTCACTAGCCTCGTCTGTCAGTTGTATTATAAGTGTGTGACAAACGAGAGAAAAAGACGCTTTTGAGATGTTTTTTAAAATGCGTATACGTTTTAATTGCAGAAGTTTGCATCCCACACACATCCTGCATGGCATATGTGCCGATGTGGGGTTTAAAGACGCGTAAGAATGGGATTTGATTTTTGAATTACTTTCCAATTATTATAAAGTTATTTATAATGGGTTTGATTTTTGAATTACTTTCCAATTATTATAAAGTTATTTATAATGGGTTTGATTTTTGAATTACTTTCCAATTATTATAAAGTTATTTATAATGGGTTTGATTTTTGAATTACTTTCCAATTATTATAAAGTTATTTATAATGGGTTTGATTTTTGAATTACTTTCCAATTATTATAAAGTTATTTATAATGGGTTTGATTTTTGAATTACTTTCCAATTATTATAAAGTTATTTATAATGGGTTTGATTTTTGAATTACTTTCCAATTATTATAAAGTTATTTATAATGGGTTTGATTTTTGAATTACTTTCCAATTATTATAAAGTTATTTATAATGGGTTTGATTTTTGAATTACTTTCCAATTATTATAAAGTTATTTATAATGGGTTTGATTTTTGAATTACTTTCCAATTATTATAAAGTTATTTATAATGGGTTTGATTTTTGAATTACTTTCCAATTATTATAAAGTTATTTATAATGGGTTTGATTTTTGAATTACTTTCCAATTATTATAAAGTTATTTATAATGGGTTTGATTTTTGAATTACTTTCCAATTATTATAAAGTTATTTATAATGGGTTTGATTTTTGAATTACTTTCCAATTATTATAAAGTTATTTATAATGGGTTTGATTTTTGAATTACTTTCCAATTATTATAAAGTTATTTATAATGGGTTTGATTTTTGAATTACTTTCCAATTATTATAAAGTTATTTATAATGGGTTTGATTTTTGAATTACTTTCCAATTATTATAAAGTTATTTATAATGGGTTTGATTTTTGAATTACTTTCCAATTATTATAAAGTTATTTATAATGGGTTTGATTTTTGAATTACTTTCCAATTATTATAAAGTTATTTATAATGGGTTTGATTTTTGAATTACTTTCCAATTATTATAAAGTTATTTATAATGGGTTTGATTTTTGAATTACTTTCCAATTATTATAAAGTTATTTATAATGGGTTTGATTTTTGAATTACTTTCCAATTATTATAAAGTTATTTATAATGGGTTTGATTTTTGAATTACTTTCCAATTATTATAAAGTTATTTATAATGGGTTTGATTTTTGAATTACTTTCCAATTATTATAAAGTTATTTATAATGGGTTTGATTTTTGAATTACTTTCCAATTATTATAAAGTTATTTATAATGGGTTTGATTTTTGAATTACTTTCCAATTATTATAAAGTTATTTATAATGGGTTTGATTTTTGAATTACTTTCCAATTATTATAAAGTTATTTATAATGGGTTTGATTTTTGAATTACTTTCCAATTATTATAAAGTTATTTATAATGGGTTTGATTTTTGAATTACTTTCCAATTATTATAAAGTTATTTATAATGGGTTTGATTTTTGAATTACTTTCCAATTATTATAAAGTTATTTATAATGGGTTTGATTTTTGAATTACTTTCCAATTATTATAAAGTTATTTATAATGGGTTTGATTTTTGAATTACTTTCCAATTATTATAAAGTTATTTATAATGGGTTTGATTTTTGAATTACTTTCCAATTATTATAAAGTTATTTATAATGGGTTTGATTTTTGAATTACTTTCCAATTATTATAAAGTTATTTATAATGGGTTTGATTTTTGAATTACTTTCCAATTATTATAAAGTTATTTATAATGGGTTTGATTTTTGAATTACTTTCCAATTATTATAAAGTTATTTATAATGGGTTTGATTTTTGAATTACTTTCCAATTATTATAAAGTTATTTATAATGGGTTTGATTTTTGAATTACTTTCCAATTATTATAAAGTTATTTATAATGGGTTTGATTTTTGAATTACTTTCCAATTATTATAAAGTTATTTATAATGGGTTTGATTTTTGAATTACTTTCCAATTATTATAAAGTTATTTATAATGGGTTTGATTTTTGAATTACTTTCCAATTATTATAAAGTTATTTATAATGGGTTTGATTTTTGAATTACTTTCCAATTATTATAAAGTTATTTATAATGGGTTTGATTTTTGAATTACTTTCCAATTATTATAAAGTTATTTATAATGGGTTTGATTTTTGAATTACTTTCCAATTATTATAAAGTTATTTATAATGGGTTTGATTTTTGAATTACTTTCCAATTATTATAAAGTTATTTATAATGGGTTTGATTTTTGAATTACTTTCCAATTATTATAAAGTTATTTATAATGGGTTTGATTTTTGAATTACTTTCCAATTATTATAAAGTTATTTATAATGGGTTTGATTTTTGAATTACTTTCCAATTATTATAAAGTTATTTATAATGGGTTTGATTTTTGAATTACTTTCCAATTATTATAAAGTTATTTATAATGGGTTTGATTTTTGAATTACTTTCCAATTATTATAAAGTTATTTATAATGGGTTTGATTTTTGAATTACTTTCCAATTATTATAAAGTTATTTATAATGGGTTTGATTTTTGAATTACTTTCCAATTATTATAAAGTTATTTATAATGGGTTTGATTTTTGAATTACTTTCCAATTATTATAAAGTTATTTATAATGGGTTTGATTTTTGAATTACTTTCCAATTATTATAAAGTTATTTATAATGGGTTTGATTCTTAAAAAAAACACCGGAATAATGAGGAAATATAGCCAATAGCAAGACCGAAATGACTACTTATATAACTATATTTGCAATAAATGCCTCAATCTCCTCAACTTCATAAATCTCCATTCAGAAGCCAGTTGATATTGAATTATATAACTGATATGTTTTCTCCTGTTTGTGTGGTATTTATATCACATTAACCTTTCTTATAGACAAGAGGCGTTCTCTTGTTCTACTGCTTATCATAAACAAGTTTACAGCTCAAACTCTACCCGGTGAAGTCCTTAGATTCAGAGCGTAATACCCCAACTCCTCCTTTCCTAGTGTCAAGTGACTGTCTCGACAACAGTGAAGATGGCAGCCACCTGTGTTAATCTCCATTGAGCAGCAAATATGTGATGTCTCGTGTACCTGGTGGACGAATTCGTTTGAAAAATGGTATGAAGTGTAGTTTAGTACTGACTACTGGGTTTGACTCTCTCTGACTTTATAGCGAACCTGTGTGATATCTCTATATATAAAGCATACACAATGAACATTAGTTACCTGTACGTTCCCTCGTGCGGGCGCCGTCACGCATGATTGGCTACCAAGTAGCTGAGATTTCATCGCGTTGTGTACAATACGGAGTGGTGTACGATACGGAGTGGTGTATAATACGGAGTGGTGTACAATACGGAGTGGCCAGTAATAGTGTTGAATTAAAAACTTGATTCCAAAATGGGGAAATCTATAAGAGGAAAGAAACGCAAAAAGACAAATAGTGTGAACGAAAGTATCATGAACTAAGTACAGAGAGTGAAAATACGGCAAACCAATCAGCGGGACTTCTAAGTTCGATCATTAATGCCGCTAATGGCGTAATCTATGGCAGCCCGCCCAGCACACAGAAAAACCAAACCAAAGCTACGTCGACACCCATCTCAACAAATGACAATTTCAACAACAAAATCGATATGATACTAAAGAAACTTGACAAGCTAGATATTATCGAACAACAAGTAACTGGTCTTGCCAACAGGGTCACAAATCTTGATGAAAAAATGTTGGAAGTTGAGAAAAAGTCATCCTGCATGCTAGAAAACACCGTCAAATTTGTATCTGATAAGTATTCAATAATGTCTTCAAAACCGGGTATTTTCCAGAAGCCTGATCCAAAGCATGTGTTGTTCCAATACATAAAAAGGGAGATATTGATGACCCTAACAACTACAGAGGCATTTCACTATTAAGCTATTTGGGCAAATTATTTACTGGAGTGTTAAATCAGAGGCTACTTAAATGGGATAGTGAACATAATATAATTACCGATGCTCAATTTGGATTCAAACCTGGTTTTTCGACGGAAGATGCCATTTTCGCATTACAAACCTTAATTAATAAAACACTAAAAGCGAAAAACAGACTATACTTTTGCTTTATAGACTACACAAAAGCATTCGATTTAATTGAAAGAAATTGTTTGTGGTCTAAACTCATAAAACATGGAAACAAAGGGAAAATGTTGAAAATTATTCAGTCGCTATATAAAAATGTAAAATAATGTATAAAGTTTAATGGTTTGTTATCGGAGTACTACCCAAACAAAATCGGTTTGTTCCAGGGAGAAATTCTGTCACCGATTCTTTACAGCCTCTATGTAAATGTTGATTGGGGAGACACCAGAAGCATTGCAGAAACTTTTAGATTCATTATATGTATATAGCCTAGAATGGAGTTAAAACTCAATATCTCCAAAACTAAGATTGTTATCTTTCGAAATGGGGGGAACATAAGAGACGCTGAAAAATGGATCTACAACAACAAGGAAGTCGATATAGTTAATGAATTTACTTATTTGGGAATGCTGATGAATCTTAACGGAAAGTTCAATGTTACCCAGAAACATATTGCTAACCAGAGAAGAAAAGCTTTATTTGCAATTATCTGTAAGTTGAAGAAAAATAATTTTAATATTGGTACAAAATGTTCAGTGTTTGATACATATGTCAACAGCATACTCGAGTATGGAAGCGAGATATAGGGCTTTTATAAAGCACCAGAGATAGAAAAGTATACATACACGTTTATGTTACTCTCTGTGTTCGGTATACATACATGTTTCTGTTACTCTCTGTGTTCGGTATACATACATGTTTATGTTAATCTCTGTGTTAGGTATACATACACGTTTATTTAACTCTCTGTGTTAGGTATACATACACGTTTATGTTCCTCTCTGTGTTAGGTATACATACACGTTTATGTTACTCTCTGTGTTACGTATACATCCACGTTTATGTTACTCTCTGTGTTAGGTATACATATACGTTTATGTTACTCTCTGTGTTCGGTATTCATACATGTTTATGTTACTCTCTGTGTTAGGTATACATACACGTTTATGTTCCTCTCTGTGTTAGGTATACATACACGTTTAGGTTACTCTCTGTGTTAGGTATACATACACGATTATGTTACTCTCTGTGTTCGGTATACATGTTTCTGTTCCTCTCTGTGTTCGGTATACACGTTTATGTTGCTCTCTGTGTTCGGTATACATACACGTTTATTTTACTCTCTGTGTTCGGTATACATACATGTTTATGGTACTCTCTGTGTTCGGTATACATACATGTTTCTGTTACTCTCTGTGTTCGGTATACATACATGTTTATGGTACTCTCTGTGTTCGGTATACATACATGTTTATGTTACTCTCTGTGTTAGGTATACATCCACGTTTATGTTACTCTCTGTGTTAGGTATACATCCACGTTTATGTTACTCTCTGTGTTAGGTATACATACATGTTTATGTTACTCTCTGTGTTAGGTATACATGTTTATGTTACTCTCTGTGTCCGGTATACACGTTTATGTTACTCTCTGTGTTAGGTATACATCCACGTTTATGTTACTCTCTGTGTTAGGTATCCATACACGTTTATGTTACTCTCTGTGTTACGTATACATCCACGTTTATGTTACTCTCTGTGTTAGGTATCCATACACGTTTATGTTACTCTCTGTGTTACGTATACATCCACGTTTATGTTACTCTCTGTGTTAGGTATCCATACACGTTTATGTTACTCTCTGTGTTACGTATACATCCACGTTTATGTTACTCTCTGTGTTAGGTATCCATACACGTTTATGTTACTCTCTGTGTTAGGTATCCATACACGTTTATGTTACTCTCTGTGTTCGGTATACCCGTTTATGTTACTCTCTGTGTTCGGTATACATACATGTTTCTGTTACTCTCTGTGTTCGGTATACATACACGTTTATTTTACTCTCTGTGTTCGGTATACATACATGTTTATGGTACTCTCTGTGTTCGGTATACATACATGTTTATGTTAATCTCTGTGTTAGGTATACATACACGTTTAGGTTACTCTCTGTGTTAGGTATACATACACGTTTATTTTACTCTCTGTGTTCGGTATACATACATGTTTATGGTACTCTCTGTGTTCGGTATACATACATGTTTATGTTCCTCTCTGTGTTCGGTATACATGTTTATGTTACTCTCTGTGTTCGGTATACACGTTTATGTTACTCTCTGTGTTAGGTATACATAAACGTTTATGTTACTCTCTGTGTTCGGTATACATACATGTTTATGTTACTCTCTGTGGTCTGTCTGTCTGTCTGTCTGTCTGTCAACTTGAATTGAATTGAACTGAATCGAATTGAATATCAAGCTCTCTTGATTGGGGATTAAAACTGAATAATTATAACACAATTCAAAGATCCCCCGACCACTGCCGGGGCATTGGAAAGATTATTCAGGCATGATTACAGTATATCTTCGATAAATCTTTTCGAAAAAATTGTCCCGAATATAACAAAATGAGAGGGAGCCAGACCAAGATTCCTACCCTGGACCTCTGGTTGATATACCGTCGCTCTAACTAACGGTAGTACCCTCTGGTTGTTATACCGTCGCTCTAACTAACGGTAGCACTATTTGCCCAGTCGCGCCACAGTTATATCTTAAGCGGTTACACTGGAATCTCTAGTTTGTTTTGCCTGTAGTTGGACAAGAACCTTAAAAATTTCGTCCCATTTATTTGTTTGACCTTCTTTTCATAATGGGGATTAACTGTCTGCACTACTTCCACTAAATTGCCTATGAAATCTAGAACCTGTTCCTTTATACGAAAAAAACAGTTTGTCCGTTTTTAAATGTAACATTTTCGGGTAAAAATCATGACGAACCTGCAAAGGTTTATGAAGGCTTTGTCAAGGCTCGTCCGAACGCTGTGTTAAGCAGCAGCATCAGGTCCGATCTTATGTTATAAACGAACAGCTTTGGTCAAACCGGTCCAACAGTGTGGAAAGTGATAAACGAAAAATGTTATGCCATGACTTGGAATACTATTTTCAATAATTACAGTAGACTATTTGAAAGTTTCAAATGATTAAGGAAAGTTGCAAAAAAAGATTGGTTGAGCAAACAATTTATGCTTAAGCATGTAAACGGGTTCATGAATATGGGGCCCTGTTCAACTCGTTTCCTGTAAAATATTCGCTATTTCCACATTTTTTTGCTGGTCAGGAAACCTGTGTTTACATTTCTTGTAGGAACTATATTGTACACGTGTTAAGAGTACTGTTTACTATCGTGGCGGATTTGTCCATTTCGTTGTTTCGTCTTTTCGCCTAAACATACGAGACTTCGTAACAGTTGACCTGTAAACAAAGGTCACTGATCAACAGTTGACCTGTACACAAAGGTCACTGATCAACAGTTGACCTGCACACAAAGGTCACTGATCAACGGTTGACCTATACTCAAAGGTCAATGATCAACATCTGACCTGTACACGAAGGTCACTGATCAACAGTTGACCTATACACAAAGGTCACTGATCAACAGTTGACCTGTACACAAAGGTCACTGATCAACAGTTGACCTATACACAAAGGTAAATGATCAACAGCTGACCTATACACAAAGGACACGGATCAACAGTTGACTTGCGCGCTGTATATGAAGGTCACTGGCCAGCAGTTCGTTCTGTAGAGGCTTCTGACCTCCTTAAGCTTAACATGACAGTTGATAGTTATACTTATCACACTGTATTTTCCAATGACGATAGGATACGAGATCAAATCGAGAGGCCACCGCAAACGGACTCGAGATTTTATCTACGTGCGAGCGATGAGAACATTTTTCGAACGACTTTCACTGAAAATACTGTAAGATAAATTATTTATCATCAATATAATACTACCTTTAATTATTTTTTAGCGGAGGAATACAATGAACCTTAAAACTACGTAGAAAAAAATATTTTCAAAACAATCCTATCGTCATTGGCTTTTCCATATGCACATTTACACCTGAAATGGTGCTGCTTACAATCCTTATATTTTATGTGTTACAGATAATGGCGTCACAAGCAGTAGCAGTAGACGAGGTCGGCAGTGGTGACAGCAAAGGTCACGTGTTGCTAACAGGTGGAGCCGGTTACCTAGGAACAACAATGATCCCGATCCTTCTGGAAGATGGATACGAAGTAACAATCTACGATATCTTTAAATGGGGCATGCATCCCATTCTTAACTTCGCACAGAACCCGCGTTTTCACATTGTGAAGGGAGATGTTCGCAATCGCGACCAGCTGGCCGAGGTTATGCATGATAAATTTGCTATCATCCATTTGGCCGCCATTGTAGGATATCCTGCCTGTGACAAAGATCCGGATCTGGCCATTGATACAAACGTCGGTGGGACGCGGATGATTGCTGAACTAAAGCGTCCTGACCAGATCATGGTGTACGCAAGTACGGGATCGTGTTACGGGGCGGTGGAGGGTGTGTGCTCGGAGGAGACGGCTATCAGCCCTCTCACGCTGTATGGGGGCAGCAAGGCTGAGGGAGAAAAAATCGTTCTAGATGTGGGCGGGATCGCTCTGCGGCTCGCTACAGTATTCGGTCTTTCACCTCGACTACGTCTTGATCTTCTTATCAACGATTTAACTCATAAAGCATTGACATTGAAAGAATTTGACCTCTACGAAGGAAACTTCCGCCGTACGTTTCTTCACGTGAGAGACGCTGCTCGTGCATTCGTTTTTGCTCTTTCACATTTCGATGCTATGAAAGGCCAGGCGTACAATGTTGGTGATGAGAAGATGAACATGACAAAATCACACGTTGCACGTGTAATACAGAACAATGTACCCGGATGTAAAATAACAGAATCCAACTCCGGCGAAGACAAGGACAAGCGAGATTACGAAGTATCGTACGCCAAGATCCGTAAACTAGGTTACTATGCCACAGTGTCCGTGGAGAAAGGTATACAGGATATGCTTAAAGTGCTACCCTTCCTCGCTCCAGAGGACATACCTCGCTGTAAAAACGTGTGAGCAGGATATGTTCAGATAAAACTCCTAATATATAAAGCATTATTTAAAAGATGTATAGCTTTATCTACACGTATACTTTAAAAAACATCAAGTTGTCAGATAATGTAGTGAAGACTCCACTTGAGTTGAATAAGCATGGCAGCTTTCTTCCGATAATCTAGACAGGGCGACCTTGACCTATATATTACGCTCAAACAAGTGCTCATTGGGCTACAAATAACTCTTTCAGAAGCCAGTCTGGTTTTGGTGACCTATTACAGGACAATCAACCTGGGACAACATTGCTAAATATTTACTGAAATAGATCGTAATCCGACAGTTGCGACATATTATCAGTGATTTGACAATTATTGCGTGTTTATTTATTCGTTATACTGAGAACCCGGATGGGTTTGATTGAGGGGCCTACGATGGGGTACACTGGAAGGCCTGTACATCCCCTCCTACTTTTAAATCAATAATCATTATTAACTTTTATACACATTTATATATGTTGTGTGCATGAGAGTTGAATTCACATACTGCTGAATAACAGTTATTGGTAAATATTGGATGAATTGATATTACATTAAAGACACTCACCAATTAAAATGCAGTTTATCAATTTTATACATGCGCATGCTTATATATATAAGGTCACATGAACCAAAGTCTCGGTCCTTTTGTGATCGTTCTTGTGAATCGTGCATAACTATTTTACATTTGCATATCAAACTGTAACTACAGTTAGCTTGTGACCAGAAGAAGGGAATGGTCAAGGTTCGAATCCACGTTCAGATAAAAAAACAAATTGGCATGTGATCATTTTCCTTAATTAAGTGATAAATATTTTTCAAATCAATGGAACATTTTATTGATATTTTAATAACATTCCTATTGATTTATCTTCTATGGAATCATGTCAACAAATCCCTGTACGCGTGTACAGTACAGCTACGCTTTGTAGTTGAGACATCATTTTAAATGATATTTATGAATTGTTTTACCCTCAAACTGACATTAGTATTTCTATTAATTATTTAAACACAAAGAAACGATGCCGAAATACAAAATATATGGGATTTTTGCGTCAGAATAAAAGAAGGCAAAGCTAAAAAAATTGAAATGTTATTATCGCAAAGATATTACCGAACATGCGGGAAAATTCATCGTCGAAGTCAATCATTTGTTTTAAATGCAGGAAGACTGCAGCACAAAGTAAGGAGCGCAATACACGTGTAGGACATGCTTTTTGAAAATTTATGTAATTTTACCATTCCAAGGTGCAGGAAGAAAAAACCAAGATATGTGCTTTTTATGAAAACAGGTAACGGCATGACGTAGGCAGTAGTAATGAAAATTAAATCCTTACAAACTTGTTGGTAATGATAGTACGATCGTGTGTTTCATACAACGTAACACGAAATAAGCATTTTGTTGAGTCTTTATCGTGAAAAGTTTGTAGATTTCTAGAAACAACATTGAAAATATTAATTATGCTGTAAATCCTGTTAACTGTCAAATTTATATCATAAGTTATACAGAATAAGATGTATTTGTATAAATGTGACCTCTTGTACCACTCAAAAGGGTGGCAGAGTGAAAGAAAAACCATAGCCGTCATTTTGAAATAAAAAATGTTAAAGAACTTCAAACTGACGTTTCAATACAAGTTTAGGTCGGAAAACCTGTCATTTTGAAATCCTATATCTAACTTGCACTAAAACTTTGTTGGGATGATATATCCTGAAAAAAACTATTAAAAACATATTTTAGGTCGCTCTTTAATCTGATTTAGCCAGAAGGACCGTCATCTTAGTTTAAACATCATTTAGTATAGGTATTATATTCCAGTAATACAAACGTGATATACCAGTAGGATTTGAAAACAAGTACAAATTACTTATGTTAATCCGTCTCCTTTTTATGAAGCCGCGATTGGACGGCACTGACTACTATTATACATACAGATATAAGTATGGATAGGGAGAAAGGAGGCAACGAGGTGCAAAAGGGTTTTGAAGAAAAAGGTTTTGGTGGTAAGATTTATAGCTGAGTAAATTCCGTCATCTTAAAAATATATTTATCAAATTCCAACTTAAACCCAATTTGTTCTGGGCTGAGTAACTGACACTTGATAGGGATGGTCTGCTGGTGGTCTTGATAAGATGTTATTTTTTGGGTCGCTCAGAAATCCAAGATGTACCACGGTCAACAATTTTGATACTGATTTCAACCTTAGGGGTCCTCGTTCCACTGGCACGAACTGTAACTACGTGTGTACGCACTGGAAACGGGTTTTCCGCTTGAGTTGAGCTTTGAGAAAAGTATACCTAGCGGGACATTTAAGAAATGAAAACGACGAAAATGGAGTACACAAAACATAGCCAACAACAGTGTCATGTCCCAGGGCTAGACCAGGGTTCGAACCATGTTATGCCGCTGGGCTAGACCAGGATTCGTACCACCTGGGCTAGACCAGGATTCGAACCACACTGGGCTAGACCAGGGTTCGAGCCATGTTATACTATCGCTTTAACCGATTTAACTACCTGATCAATGGAAGTGTCGTGGCCCACACTTGGTACATTTATATCCGAACGTGAATTAAGGGAGGCTACTGTACGTACGTCACAACACAGTGCAGTGGGTCAGGGATCCTTCAGGGGAGGCTGCTGTACATACGTCACAACACAATGCAGTGGGTCAGAGATCCTTCAAGAGAGGCTACTGTACGTACGTCACAACACAGTGCAGTGGGTCAGGGATCCTTCAGGGGAGGCTACTGTACATACGTCACAACACAGTGCAGTGGTTAGAAATCCTTCAGGGGAGGTTACTGTACATACGTCACAACACAATGCAGTAGGTCAGAGATCCTTCAGGGGAGGTTACTGTACATCCGTCACAAGACAGTACAGTGGGTCAGAGATCCTTCAGTGGAGGTTACTGTATATACGTCACAACACAATGCAGTGGGTCAGAGATCCTTCAGGGGAGGTTACTGTACATACGTCACAAGACAGTACAGTGGGTCAGAGATCCTTCAGTGGAGGTTACTGTATATACGTCACAACACAATGCAGTGGGTCAGAGATCCTTCAGGAGAGGCTACTACATACGTCACAGCACAGTGCAGTGGGTTAGAAATCCTTCAGGGGAGGTTTCTGTACATACGTCACAACACAATGCAGTGCGTCAGAGATCCTTCAGGGGAGGCTACTGTACATACGTCACAACACAATGCAGTTGGTCACAGATCCTTCAGGGGAGGTTACTGTACATACGTCACAACACAATGCAGTGGGTCAGAGATCCTTCAGGAGAGGCTACTGTACATACGTCACAGCACAGTGCAGTGGGTTAGAAATCCTTCAGGGGAGGTTTCTGTACATACGTCACAACACAATGCAGTGCGTCAGAGATCCTTCAGGGGAGGCTGCTGTACATACGTTACAACACAGTGCAGTGGGTCAGAGATCCTTCAGGAGAGGCTACTGTACATACGTCACAACACAGTGCAGTGGGTCAGAGATCCTCCAGGGGAGGTTACTGTATATACGTCACAACACAATGCAGTGGGTCAGAAATCCTTCAGGGGAGGTTATTGTACATACGTCACAACACAATGCAGTGGGTCAGAGATCCTTCAGGGGAGGCTACTGTACATACGTCACAACACAATGCAGTGGGTCAGAGATCCTTCAGGGGAGGCTACTGTACATACGTCACAACACAATGCAGTGGGTCAGAGATCCTTCAGGGGAGGCTACTGTACATACGTCACAACACAATGCAGTGGGTCAGAGATCCTTCAGGGGAGGCTACTGTACATACGTCACAACACAATGCAGTGGGTCAGAGATCCTTCAGGGGAGGCTACTGTACATACGTCACAACACAATGCAGTGGGTCAGAGATCCTTCAGGGGAGGCTACTGTACATACGTCACAACACAATGCAGTGGGTCAGAGATCCTTCAGGGGAGGCTACTGTACATACGTCACAACACAATGCAGTGGGTCAGAGATCCTTCAGGGGAGGCTACTGTACATACGTCACAACACAATGCAGTGGGTCAGAGATCCTTCAGGGGAGGCTACTGTACATACGTCACAACACAATGCAGTGGGTCAGAGATCCTTCAGGGGAGGCTACTGTACATACGTCACAACACAATGCAGTGGGTCAGAGATCCTTCAGGGGAGGCTACTGTACATACGTCACAACACAATGCAGTGGGTCAGAGATCCTTCAGGGGAGGCTACTGTACATACGTCACAACACAATGCAGTGGGTCAGAGATCCTTCAGGGGAGGCTACTGTACATACGTCACAACACAATGCAGTGGGTCAGAGATCCTTCAGGGGAGGCTACTGTACATACGTCACAACACAATGCAGTGGGTCAGAGATCCTTCAGGGGAGGCTACTGTACATACGTCACAACACAATGCAGTGGGTCAGAGATCCTTCAGGGGAGGCTACTGTACATACGTCACAACACAATGCAGTGGGTCAGAGATCCTTCAGGGGAGGCTACTGTACATACGTCACAACACAATGCAGTGGGTCAGAGATCCTTCAGGGGAGGTTACTGTACATACGTCTCAACACAATGCAGTGGGTCAGAGATCCTTCAGGGGAGGCTGCTGTACATACGTCACAACACAATGCAGTGGGTCAGAGATCCTTCAGGGGAGGCTGCTGTACATACGTCACAACACAATGCAGTGGGTCAGAGATCCTTCAGGGGAGGCTGCTGTACATACGTCACAACACAATGCAGTGGGTCAGAGATCCTTCAGGGGAGGCTGCTGTACATACGTCACAACACAATGCAGTGGGTCAGAGATCCTTCAGGGGAGGCTGCTGTACATACGTCACAACACAATGCAGTGGGTCAGAGATCCTTCAGGGGAGGCTGCTGTACATACGTCACAACACAATGCAGTGGGTCAGAAGTCCTTCAGGGGAGGCTGCTGTACATACGTCACAACACAATGCAGTGGGACAGAGATCCTTCAGGGGAGGCTGCTGTACATACGTCACAACACAATGCAGTGGGTCAGAGATCCTTCAGGGGAGGCTACTGTACATACGTCACAACACAATGCAGTGGGTCAGAGATCCTTCAGGGGAGGTTACTGTACATACGTCACAACACAATGCAGTGGGTCAGAGATCCTTCAGGGGAGGCTACTGTACATACGTCACAACACAATGCAGTGGGTCAGAGATCCTTCAGGGGAGGCTACTGTACATACGTCACAACACAATGCAGTGGGTCAGAGATCCTTCAGGGGAGGCTACTGTACATACGTCACAACACAATGCAGTGGGTCAGAGATCCTTCAGGGGAGGCTACTGTACATACGTCACAACACAATGCAGTGGGTCAGAGATCCTTCAGGGGAGGCTACTGTACATACGTCACAACACAATGCAGTGGGTCAGAGATCCTTCAGGGGAGGTTACTGTACATACGTCACAACACAATGCAGTGGGACAGAGATCCTTCAGGGGAGGTTACTGTACATACGTCACAACACAGTGCAGTGGGTCAGAAATCCTTCAGGGGAGGCTACTGTACATACGTCACAACACAGTGC